TGGCACAGGACAGAGCGGAGTTTAGGGCTGTCGTACATAGGGTCGTTATGAGTCGCAGGCGACTCGACGGCACATAACAACAACAACAACAACAACAACATCTTTCATTACATAAGTTGAGGAATAGCATCTTTTGAGAGAAAAACATAGGCAAAGATCAGAGAATGCTTGATGTGGTCAGAAAGCATAGAGACACAAGCCATCTTTGGTGAAAGTGTTGAGTCAGGCACAAATGAGGAGAGAAAGAAGAGCTGGAAGTGAGCGGGGCCAGGTGATCCACTGGCTTGGATGTTGTAAATGTCTCCTCCCAAAGGCAGCTGCCATTACTTCCTCCCCTCCCCATACACACAGGCTACCCACCATTAAGAAGTGCACCCTTGTCTCCATGCATTGAGTCTAGTGGAATGACCTTAGGCTCTTTAACTGATAGGACATATAAGATGTCACTCTGTCGGTTCAAGGTCTGGTTTTCTGTTGGAAGATGAGCTCTGTGGACACCCCCTTTGGATCCCAGTCATTGCCCTGTGGGAACCGTATGAATAGTCTGTGTGAAGCGCTCCAGTCAACTATGCCAACGGCCAGCATGTCAATATAGCATCTTGGTTATATAGCTGGTTCATCTCTGATGACTCCAGCTTCAGCCAGAATCTGAGAACGGATGTGCAGTCCACCCAGAATACACCCCTAAGCCCTCAGAAGGTGAAGCTGTTTTCTTGAGTCATTAAGCTTTTATTTGATTTGCTAGTAGGACTCTAACTCAAAGAGGTGTTAAAAAGACTGTTTTGGACATGATCTGGAGTGAATGGTGACTTCAAATAGTAGTTTTTGTTTGTTTTTAACAAACGAATCTAGAAGGATGAGGAGGGGTGGGGGAAAAATTCAAAGTTGGGTGGTATAAATGGTCGGTGTGCTTGGCTGATCACTGAAAGACTGAAGGTCCAAGTTCCCCCAGAAATGCCTTGAAGACACTTCTAGCAATAACTTCTGAAAAAAAAACAGACACTGAAAACCTTATGAAGCACAATTCCACTCCAATACAACTGGAGTGGCCAGAGCATGGCATTATTTGACAGAAAACTATACATCAACTATACTTCCTTGGAGGCTAGGATTTTTGAAGCTCTGCCTCACATACTCTGGGCACGTGGCCAGGAGAGATCAGTCCTTGGAGAAGGACATCATGCTCAGAAGGGAGGACAGACAGTGCAGGAGAGGAAGACCCCAGATGAGATGGATTGATACAGTAACTGGGGCAAGAGAGGTTGGTGTGTTGGAATTAGTGAGACTGGCTCAGGACAGGGCAGGGTTCAGAGCTACTGTGGTTGCTATACATAGCAGGAGACTCAACAGTACATAACAACAACAACATACTATATTGAGTTTTGGTTTGGTTTTTGTTTTTCGGGGTTTTTTTCCATTTATTTAAGCCTCTTGTTTATTTAAGCCAACACGACCTCGGGGAGGGCCTTCGTATTTAAAGTTGGTTGTTATTATATTTTGGAGGAACATTCTTCTAAGTGGTACAGCACTCTTCTGTCAATATGCTGTACTGAGGTAACCTGGGGTTGCTGTGATGCTGGACCTTGTGCCACTGGGGTGTTAAATACCATTAATGGTTACCCATGGTGGACAGTGTTGGTGGACCTCCCAGTTTAAGACAAGTTTGGAAGCATGAGTGGCATCCACTTCCCAAACAACATGCTTCTGGAAACTATGAACTTTGATAAATGTCAATAGTTGTAGAGGGGCTTCAGGCCTTTTGCTCAAAGGGTCACTACGAGTTGTGCTCAACAGCAATCAATAACAACAACAACAACAACAACAACAGCATACTTCATTTGCTTCTGTTGTCGTACTGTAAATCTCCCCAGAATGCTAATATTCTAAGGAGGTAATATGATGTTTCAGAAGGAGCATAAGCTTTGTAGTCATATAAAACCTGAACCAAATTACAATCATGTCCCTATGGGCTGAGAGACTATGGTCAAGTCATATGAGGTAGTTGTTGTTAGTTGCCATCAAGTCGAGTATGTCGCTTAGTTGACCCTGGGAACAGCCATCCTGACACTTGCCCTATCCTGTGCCATTCTCATCTTTTCTGAGACACTGGAGACCACTGCTGAATCAGTCCATCCTGTTGGGGTCTTCCTCTCCTTTGCTGACCCTCCATGCAACCTTGATGTAGTACTGAGTTTATATCGTACCAGATGCCCATTCTGAAGCCAGCACACCCAATCCCAGAATGTTTAGGAGTACTGTGTTCTGGCTGACCTCCTTGCTGTTGAACTTTCCTCAGCTGATGGAAACCAGGTTGTGTTGAATGTGACAACCTCTACCCTCTACACATGTCTAAACCACAATGATTGGATTTTTCTCTCTTTCACAATTTTTTTTTTTTTTAGAGAATCATTCCATATAAGCCACCCTTGGAAGTTTTGCAGATAATGGAGGTAACTGTATCATCAGTCACACAGAGAAGGCACTATATGTCTGTAGAGGGAAGGAATTGCAGTTGATAGGCCAGAGAACTACCATGTTTCCAAAGAGATAGTATGAGTTTACCAATCCCACCCATTTGGAGGCTCAACCATACATGCAAGCTCACCGCGTCTCTTTATCGTGGACAGATTTCAACCCCAACGCACACAAACAGGCAGATCCACAGGCACTGGTTGTTAACACAGTTTATTATTGGCACACTTATCAGTAAAGCATACATAAAATACAGCTGCTTGATAACACACGGAGCCACTGTGTCTTTACATGGGTAGAGGAACGTATTAATATGCAAATGGAAAAAATTAGTTCTCTTATAAAGTTTCACATAAATACACTGGAATTGCCTCCCCCCCAAAAAAAGAAAAATCCCCATAAAAGAACCAGCTGAGGGCTTTACAAAATATTATACAAGAAATATACTATGAAAAGAAAGAACAGTCAACTCAGAGACCATCAATTAAAAAATAATAATAGTAACACAAAAGATTCCCAGATTTATTAAGCTGCCCACAAAATGAACGATTACATGGCTTGGAAAGATTTGGATCAACAGCAATTTTACAAACGCATGTTTTCAAGGGGGCCAAGTGTCTTCCTTCACAGAAAAAAAAATTGCCTTTGTGTCTCTGTTGGCAAGAAAGGCATTTCTGGTTTCAACTCTTGGGCTAAATGACTCAAAACCAATAGACACAAGGGTTAACCATACACGCATCTCCTCCCCGGGCCCCCTCTGGCTGTTTACCCAGGGAAAGCAAAGCCTTGGAAAAGGAAAAACAAAAGCCCCTCAAAATGACTTTCCCAAAGTGGAATTTTTTTTCTTTTCTTTTTTTTACCGAAACAAGAGACTCTCAGATGCAAGTCAAAAAGCAGAAAATATTTTACACTATTAAAAAGTCATCGGCTGAACTGACGAGCTCCTTCCTGAGCACTGAGAACAATACACGGCCACAGGGCCTTCAGTCGGGTGCATGGAAAGGAAATTCAACAGGAACGTGGCGTCCCACACCAGCCAGGCGCTGCGCTGGCGATGCTGCCTTAATTACAATCAGTGCCAGTATCTGAAGATTACCTGCAGAAGCTTCCAAGGACAGGGCACAAAAGCTTATTTGGAACAATCCTCTCAATTAAAAAGAAAAGAAATAATCATGAAAGAGAGAAAACTCCAATCATTGTGGTTTAGAAACAGATCTATGTGGAAAAGATTGTGTGTGTGTCTCCTTTTTTCTCTCTCCTTTAAGCAAAAATCTGGAGCGGTCACTGCGGGGCCCACTGGTCTACCAGGAGTGTGGGCTTGGGGACAGGGGGTTTTATTGGGAAGCCTGGGGCGGGGGGTTTTCTGATTTGGTCTCTTGAGTGGCTGGCGGTTTACTGTTCCAGGGGCTGTGGCTCCCCAAGGCGGGTGAATTGTTGAAGTCCTCCTCGTCGTCCATGCCGTTGGCCGCATCATACTGCGTGTTTTCTAATCTAGTGATTAGTCTTTCGTCCTCGTCCCCAAACTCTCCTCCCATCAGAGTTGGTTCTCCTACCACCATCACATCCTGTGAACAGCAGCTGACATTATTACAGGGAAACCTTGGGAGAGAGAAGTTCAACGTAAAACAATTGTGGGAGGAGGTAAGGGAAGCTAGGACAGACACACTGGAGTAATGTACAACGGGGGGAGGAGGGGCACGTGTCCATGTCGAGGGGTGGGATAGACCGTAACCTCCTGCTGGGGGACAACCCCAAGAGCCTAGTCCTTAGGGAGCAGCCTGACACTGGAGCATGAGCAATGCTAGCAATCTGCAGAATTACAAAAAGGATTGGCCAATTTTTATTTCTTTTTAAAGGCACCACACTTGTCATTGGTTGATTTGGGGAGGTTAGGGAAAGCTTCTTAGAGGGCGGTGTGGGACTTTCTGTGGGGTGCTTTAACCCCAGCTCCAAAAAGCTGCCACTCTTCCTGGGGGCTGGGAGTGGCTTTGGAACCTAGCAGGGGACCGAGACATCCACCAGCTTCCAGCCTGTGACAGGCATGCCACTCTATGAGAACGGAGCTCTCTCTGTCCCCAGGCTGGTCTAAGTTTTCACTGGCAGACCAAGTCTTTCCTTCCCCTGCTCAGCCAGGCCTGTTCATGCAGCCAATATCCTTGACATTCTGCTACTTAATTATGGTAATTAATTTAGGTAAAGTTTTCGATAAAAACAATGTTCACACTGATTTGACAATTTGCATAGCTAATTGAGTCATTAGCAAAAACCTGCTGATTGCCAACAAGCCCTGAATTTACCATCTGTTATTTCATGGTGCCTGTTACCTACCCCCACATAGGCAACTCGGCCACCAATTTGGGCCTTAAAGAGGACCTGTTTGTCCAGCTGGTCCTGGAAAAGGAAGGCGAAGAGCCCTCCTGGTAATTACATGGATGAAGCGGGTGGCCATCCACAAGGGGGCGTGCAAGAAGAATCCATCTAATCACTTTTTACAAAAATTTATTTTATTTTGTTAATTTTAATGAACAATTACAGAGATATTATCACTCTTTTAAAGCACACATTGTCCTTCCATGCAAACAAGGAAGCCACCTACTGTAGCTGGGAGCATCTGGGAGGCCACACCTGGAGAGGCACAGGGACGGGGGAGAAAGGTGCATACACAGGGCACAGCTCCGGCCTCTTTGTTCAAAGGGGACCATGTGGGGTTGATGGGTGACCTGGGCATGGGACAGGACACCTGTCAGATGGATGCTTCTGGGCAGGATCTGAGCAATATTCCACTTAAAAGTGTAATGACTCCATGAGGGGACCACCTGCTATCCGCCATGGCTAGCAGGATCCTGATGCTTTTGGAAATGGGATAGTGAACCTCCTTCCAGAAGGGGTGAATGATATAAGATGCTGTGGCAACTTGGGGGGATGCTCTTCACTGGGGCTTTGCAGAAGTGATCATTCTTGGGGTAGTACAGTAGAAGGCTCTCTAGGGTCAGAAGATACAGGGCATCCTCAAAACCCCCTCTGAAATTTTGAAAGTGCCCATGGAACCAATATCTTAATTATCACCTGGTTCATGTTGGAACTGAAAAGGTTCTAGTTGTTTTTCATGCACCCCCAAGACCCCACCCAGGGCTAGAACTAGAATCTCCAGAACTACAGAAGGTCCTCAACAGGTTTCAAAAGTGTGTCCCCGGCTCAACAGGCTTAGGGGTTGATGAATGTATTTCTAGACAGTTAATGCACAGATAAAATCAATGTGTTATGTATTGTCCCTGGTAAACCTGACCGTGGCGGTTATCAGAAAAGATGGTACTAGGCTAAGCGCTGGTGTGCGCATCCAAGAGCATCTTAATTATGCAATGAAGAATCTGACACGACACTCACATGCTAGGAAACTCCTGAGGACCTCTGAGGGTGAGATGCAAAAGGAACATGCTATGTCTAAGCAGCAGGAATTCCAATAGGTTATCAGGTAGAATTTGCCACTGAAGAGATGCGACAGTTATTGGGTTAGCTGGGGCAATGGTTGAGGTGGTTAAGTGGAAAAGTGTCAGTCACGGGTAAATAGGAGACCATGCTAAGGAGTGAGAACAAAGGCAAGACCAAAGAATGGGCTGAGTCTGGCCAGAGAATGTCAGACGGAGGGAGTTAAGCCAATCGGATGGCTTCTGTGCAGCAAACTCTGAAGGGCTTGGGAAATGCATGTGTCAGGTCTCCAGGGGCAGGGAAAGGATGTTAAAAGCACCCAAGTGGAGATACATTAGTATCTTGACTACAAGGTCATTGCAAGAGGCTGGGAGAACATGAGAAGTTAAGTGTCCTTTCAGGGAACAGGATAGAAAGAAGAGGCCAACTTAAGCATGATTTTAAAAGGAAAGTTCTCCACCTTCTGGATGCATCATATTAGAAAACAGCAGTCATTCAAGAAAAATGCTGTAAAAATCGTGGTTTGGGCTACTTCAAGTGGGGCTGATCTACATGTGTGACATGTTTCTACACCTTTGAGTTACAGATTGTGGAAAAGACGCACAAGCATAGGTATTTTTAAGCATTCTAAATTTCAGAGAGATGCTACAGTTGATTTACTGTTTATAAAAAACCAGCCTTAGCCAGATACCTAACTGTGTGTGTATTTGTGTATGTATAGGCTAAAAACAGACATATGAGTTTGTATGAACCTTGACATGTACTTAGATACTTGAAAACTCTTACACAAGTAGATGCATAATTTTAACTTATTCCTTTAAATCTCTACACTAGAAGGGGATCAATGCTTTTGCACAGATAATGATTGTGCAATATATTTTTTTGGATTTTCTACAAACTAAGCAATTCTCTCCCATGTTAGCTTTCTATGCACATTTTATTTGCATGCATGCTATTTATGTGTGTCATGTGAAAAAAAGATACGACAGAATGATTCTTTGTACTGACCGTCTCACACACAATAGATGGAGACACACAATACAATGTTCTGAACTGCCTCTAGTTATGGGATGCCGGCAGCATCCTGCCACCCCAAGTGTTTTCTAAAATCCCTTTCATGCGCTTGCTTCGGCAGCAGGTATACTAAAGGTGGAATAATACAGAGAAAATGAGCATGACCCCTGCACAAGGATGATACGCAAAAACCCCTTCCACAGGTTAGTGAGGCTTCCCGTCTCTCCCGTCTCTGCTAGCTCTGTGTACGTCACAGGAGGCAAGACGGATCCCTTTGCAAGAAACACACGTGCCCTTGGCACTCCAGGAAACTGATTTCCGCATTTCAGCTGGAGGCCTGGAGCTGCTCTCAGCTCTTTCCCATATCACATCTTCTCACTAATCCCCCGTGCAAGGACCACCAACCTCTGAGGAGGACTGGAAGTGACTCCTTTCAGGGCCCCTCAATGCTTCTCCTTAAATTGGCCAGAAGGGGTCACTGCTGTTGAATGACACAGGTCTCCATCCCTCCCAGGGTTGAGGCTGCAGTTCGGGATCGCTCCTAGCCCCTGCTCATGGAGTGAGAAGCAGAATCCAAGGATTAAACCCTAGTAGTCCCTGCCAGGCACACACATTGCTGTCACAGCAGCTGGGTGCACCACAGCTGTGGGCGAGGTCGCTTATGGGTCTGTGGATGCCTATGAAGTAGGTGGGGAATAGCTACAGATATTTAAGTAGTAAATATTGTGGGAATTCAATAGACAGGGTTAAATGAGGTAGTCAGTACACACTTCCAAGTGATTGTCATTTAATTCTTATTCAACAGAACACCTTAAAAAAAAATCTACATCTTCTAAGCTCATTGCCGTTTTGTATCTATCTTGGCCATTTTCAGATTTAATTAATTAGACATTTTTTTAATTGTATGATGGGAGCAAAGTGATGAAATAAACTTTTTCATATTATCTTGTATTCATAAAGATACACATTACAACCCTTCTTGATACAAATATCTCCACTAAAGTGTAGGCTTTGGTTTGAAAGTTATAGAGTAGAAAAAAATGTGTGCTGCTTTTTATAGTAGAATCATTCCAACTTAAACATCTTCACTACTCATTACAGACAAGAGTAGTGGATGGGACATCAGACATCACTAGTTGATGGAAAAAGTGGGACTCAGAACTTTGCAGCTGATATCAGAGATTGAGTTGCAGGAGAGAGTCTCTGTTAGTTATTCTTATGCTAGAAAAGATCTGTGTCGTTTCCATTTAGGGTTTTTTGTTTGTTTGTTTGTTTTTTAATCTTTGTATTGCCCGTGTCTGGCCTAGTATAGGATGCATGAGTAGGAACTTACAAAGCATTTGTTGAAATAATCTGAATTCTTGCGGTTCAAGTTCCTGAACTCTCTGGAATGCCTTTCCTAACTGTTAGTTGATGCTAACAAATACTAGTTTCTGTAATTCTAGGATTAGATGAATAAATGGGCAGCTTGGATATTCTTTTTTAGGAGCAAGTGTACAGGCATACCTCATTTCACTGAACTGTGATTTATTGCAATTTTTAAAATAACTTGTTAAAATGTCAATTTGTAAAAAGATAGTACTTTTTCCTTCCCCAAATTGCAGGTTTGTAACAACCTCACATCAAATAAATCTATTGGGCCATTTTCTCAACAGCCTGTGCTCACTTCTATCTCTGGGTTGCTTTCCAGTAATCCTTACAATACTTCAAACTTTTTCATAATGCTAGGGAGTTCTGGTAGCCTAGTGGTAAGAATCTGTTCTGCAATGTCAAATACATGTGGTTCAAATCCACTTGCTACTCCACGGGAGAAGGATGGGCAATCTCTTCCTGTGTAAATACTACCTCTGAAAACCTGCTCGAGGGTCAGTTATGGGTAACTTCCAACTTACTGGCACACAACAATAACAACAAATGCACTTAATAGACTACGAGATTGTGTAAACATAGCTTTCATATGTACTGGGAACCAAAAAAAATTCATAGACTCACTTTATCTAGAGAATAGCTTTACTGCAATGGTGCAAAACCACGCCTGCAAATTTTGACGTGTGCCTGTAACTTACTGATACATTCAGAGAGAGATTCAGTTTTTTATTTTATCTCCATCTCTCTCTAGGTCTCTTCAAGGTTGATGGGTTTGAAGCCCAGTTTAAAGAATAAATGGCCTGAAAACTGTAACTTCTCATGATCTTCTCATTTAAATGACCCACTCTACAGACTGCTTCCTATTTTCATAACTTATTCTTTCTAATGTGATAGGATTGGGAACAACCTCACTGTTCCATGGGGTATAGGAGAAAAATCTCAATGACTCGGGCAATCCTGAGGTTATAAATAGAGCTGACTTTAGCCAAAAAGAACTAATCAATGGAAAGTGGCTAAGAATCTACATGAGAGATCTCTTGTAAAATTCTACACACATGGAGAAGTGGAAAAGAATCAGAATAACAAGGTGAGAACAACAGACTAAGGAGGGAAACAATGAAAGTAGAGGAAAGTGGAAGCAGAGGGAAAGGTTCAAGCTGTATTGGCTGAGAAAGATAACAAGAAATCGTGAACATTTCTAGAAACTGAATGGCTAGAGGTAATCCAGGAAGTATCAGGAAAGTGCCAAGATTAAAATGACAGTTGCAGGTCCAGTAACAGAGAGAAGTCATAAGGACAGCAAAGAGGAGCGCTCACAAGGAAGAGAAAACAGATGTTTAAGGGGGTGCGAGCATTTCAAAGAGAAAGACATGATGTCATGGTAGCCCTAGGAATAAATGAGAAGTTAGGAAGTAAGTAGAAAAGATAAAGTTTGGGAAGAAGTAGTAGGAGATGAAGAATTATCACACTAAAAGATGAAAAGTTTTAGCACAGTTTATAATCTTGTAGGGCTACACTTCACTGTCAGCTTTGGGGTTCAAAGATGCCCTCTTCTCAGTGGCCTGTTTCCTTTGCCAACATCCAGAAATAAAAAAGGAAGGGATCAAGAGGTCAAAAGGGTTGAGAGCAAATTTTTCACACCTGGGGCTTATCCTCCCCCCAAGCTAATGAAACGGGGAAGCCAAATCCATTGGGCTGCATTTTTACTGGCTGTGAGTTAATTACCTGAGTCTTAAAATAGGAGGCGATGCCCATGTTGGGAAGGCTCAAGTCAAATTATGATACAGAGTCTGAGTGCCAAGATCTTGTTTCTGATGGAGCTTAGGTCCCCGGTGTGGGTGGCAGGCAGTCCTATTATGCCACCAGGCATGCGGCTAAGTGATATTTTAATTAAACCTTAAGTGACATATCTCCTGTCTGTGCTCTGATGGCTTTTTAATTCAGGTCCCATTGCAGCATAGGCTCTTAATAGAGCCGGTCCCTGGGTTAGGAAGAAGGCTCATTCTTAAGTGTGTCTTTAACTTGAATTTGTAAGTTGGAGCAGGTGTGTGTAGATTTTAGCATTATTTAGTGAAAGAAAAATATTTTTTTTTTAAAGAAAAATCTTAAAGCCTTTTCAGTGATTTAAAAGCTGCATGTGCAGCAAACAAAGGTGACCATGATGAATTGGTTGAGAGCAGGGGTTGGTCAAATCATTTCAAAGTGAGGACAAATTTACATACCGTTAAAGGGCACGGGGGAGCTGTCCATAAGTCTGACTTTCATAATCTGGAGACCGACTCTATTCCTTTCTAATTCCCAGTTTGCGGGGCGGAAGATTTCCAGGGCAGAGTTCCTCCCTCCAGTCCCCATCCCCATCTCCACCACCAACCTGCTGCCCAGATTGGATCTGTAGTTATAAGAGACTTTCTCATGGGTCCCCTGAACAGGAAGATGGGCAAAGGTGAGAGGGCAGGCCTAAAAGGAAAGTGAGACTTACAGGTACCTGACTGGACAGACTCAGGTTTGCAGCTGGGGTCTTCTTCTTGCTCCCAGTGCTGTTTGCATTGTTTCCAGCGCTGCTGTTGGAAGTGCTGCTGGTGGAATTTTTCCTTTTCCTCCGTTTTGTGGTCGGCTGCCTTGTGGGTTCTGCTGCAATATGAGAAAGAGAAGAGGGATCAGTCCAAGCTAAGTACATCAGGACGAACACTACCAGGGTGCCATCTCACAAGAGAAGCTGTGTTTGCACACTCAAAAGAACAGATTATTCACGTTGCTTTATTTCTCTACACTTTATACACACACACACACACACAAAAAAAAATAAATAAAAGAGGAGACAGATGTTGATTTATTTTTAACACCAAAATGTGTGAAGTTCTTTTCTTCTATGTATAGATGAAATTAATATCTATTATTCTTCCTAACTTCATAGATAATGATCTGTTGGTATGTTTTAGGGATGAGCTAGTTTCTTCTCTCTATCAGTGATTTCAGAGTTGAATTAAAATTATCATTAGCATTACAAAACTAAATTTTTTTGTTGTTTTTCACTTGTTCAACTTTCTCTTTTTCCCAGCTCTTGTCTGTCAGCTTATCACTGTGGTGACTTTCATGATGTTGTGATCATGAAGGCCGTACTACTAACATTTCATCCTGGACCTCTCACCTGTGACAGGTTTCAAAAGGTTTTTCAGACTAAGACAAGGAAGAAAGGTCTGGTACTCACTGCTGAAAATTAATCAATGACAATCACAACAGAATATTGTCTGATATGGTGCTGGACGACATGCTTCCTAGGTTGAAAGGTACTCAAAACAGAAAGTGGCCACAGCAGATTCACTAATACCTATGACTGTAAAGAAGACACAGGACCTGGTAGTTTTGTTCTGCTGTACAAGGGTTCCCATGAGTTACAGTCAACTAAAAACAATTTCCTTTAATTTATGACAGAAAGAAGGCTTCTGAGCTCTTTATGGGGTCACTTGTTATTGTTGTCATTATGTACTGTCAAGTTGGAACCAACTCATAACTGACACTCCAGTAGGGTTTTCAGAGTCTATAAATCACATTGGAGGTGACTGTCCATCTTCTCCTCATGGAACAGCTGGTGGATTTGAACCATGCACCTTTGGGTTGGTAGCACAACTACTTGTCACTAAGCTTATCACTGGAAGTCACTTGGTATTGTTATTGTGTACTGTTGAGTCATAATCGACCCATAGCTGATCCTCCAGTCAGTTTTCAGAAGCAGTTAATTGCATGGCAGGAAATTGCCCATCCTTCACTCATGGAGCTGCTGGTGGATTTGAGCCATGTGCCTTTGGGATTGCAGCACAGTTTCTTGCCACTAGGCCACCCCAGGTACTTTCAATTCATTTCTTCTGAGAATCATGTCATAGAGATAACCCTTCAGTGGGTTTTCAGACATTGTTAATCATTCAGGAGGTGATTGTCTCCCATGGAGCTGTTGATGGATTTGAACCACTCACCTTTGGGTTGGCAGCATAGTTCCTGTCCCACCAGATACTAAATGGTTACAGCTCAGTTGATGACCTTATGTGTTATAGCAGTATCAACTGGATAAATGCCATGTTGCAAGCTAGCTCTACTACACCTTCAATGATCAAGTTAAAGGAAGAAGAAGAAGAATCAGTTCTATTAGTTGTGGCTGCAGAGTTTATGAAACCATACACTCAATAGTCGACTACTTTTCCGGGTGGTATAGCACTGGTCTGTTTGTTGCTGTACAGAGGTAACTCGTGTTGCTGTGATGCTGAAGACTGTGACAGTGATGTGCCAATCGTGGTAATTGGTATCTACAGTGGACAGTGTTGGATGGAGCTTCCCGACTAAATAAATCAAGCCTGGAAGCAGGAGTGGCATCCACTTCCGAAATGGCTTGCCTCTGCAAACTCTATGTGCGAACAATGCTCAGACCGTTCGTTCATAGGGTCGCTATGAGTTATCTACGACTCGACGGCACCAAACAATAACACTCAATTTCAGTAGAAATATCTGTGGCCTGATTCTGCAGCTTTAAAATGCCACTAGTTTTAAAATCATCGTGGACACTGTATACTACAGCCAGCGTATTGTTGAAGAAAAGTTTAACCTTTTGAAAGCTTGTTCAGAAATGGAGTTGTCAGAAGAGATGCATTGAACGTTGCAAAGTCAATCAAATGCCCAAATCTCTCGCTGGCAAGCAAGCATCTTCTTCTTTCTCACTAAACTCTTACCATCAAGCTGGAACCTACTCACAGCTGACCCTTCAGTGGGTTTTAGAGCCTCTCAGTTGGTGGCAGGAGATGATCCACCTTTCTTCATTGGAGTGGATTTGAATCACCAAAGAAGTGTCACCTACAGACTGTACAACTCCCTAAGACTAGGCCACAGAGCTCTAATTAGACCTAAAAAAAGGTGTACTGTAGACTGAGAAAAACTGGATAAATTATGTATACTGCATAAAAACAGATGAGGGAGAGAACTGTTTGAAAGCGATATATGATTGGGTATTATGGTCATGACAAGAGTCCAGAATGAAGGCTGCATAGTGGAGTGCACTCGGGGGTGGGGGGGGCAGATTGTATACCAATAAAAGAATGTTTCTTTTACTTTTCAAAGAGAAGTGCAAACTAGAGGGAGGGGTGGGCAGGGAGAAATATGCAATAATGAATGTATTGAAATCCAAAATCTTTGTAAAATTAATTTTTTTAAAAAACGTGTATAGAATGATTTTTACAATTTTTTGTCTCTGTATTCTGATCATGGGGTTTGAGATAAAATGAATTGACTCAAACGCAATGAGTTCATCCGAAGCTGCGCATTCCTTCCTTGATCTTTTTCAACAGTCACAGGAGGCTGCATTAGGAAAGGCAGGGACTTTGGAGACAAAGCAACCTGCCTATGACAGGTACTTCCTTCCTTCACTAGCCGTGAGACTAACATTGACAAACTTCTTCCTGAAGCTTTTAGAATACACCATATGAGATGAGAAAAGTCAGTGATTTAGAATGAGATTCAGTAAGCTGAATGAGAGATTTATGAAGGCTGTAATTCAGTTAATCTTTCACTCTACGCCACCTCCAGTGGTCAGAGCAGTGTCTAATAACTACAGAATAATGGTTGAATGGATAAACAAATAATCTCTGGGCTATAAGGGGGATCTTGTGGCCTAGTTGTAAGGCCTTGAAGTGTCAACCCACAGACATGAGGTTCAAATCCATCAGTTGCTCCATTGGAGAAAGTTGGGCCGTCTCCTCCCGTGTAATTCCAAGCCTCTGAAAACGTCTTAGTGGATCAGCTGAGAGCAGCTTATGGTTCGACGGCACATAAGCACTGTATACTATATATGAATATATCAGGAAACGCAGGGGCTCAAAGTGTTTGTCGCATTGGTGAAGTGTATTCCACACCCCCTCAGCCATAAAAGCATATTGATATTGAAAGAGAAAATAAAGCCAATTGAAGCACACTCCATATATTAAAAAAAAACAACAAAACAAAACATGTTCTGAAAGTCAAAAACTCCCCCTGGGACAGGGGTGTAGCTACTCTGTGGAAAATAAAGCTCATATTCTCAGTTTTCTAAATATGTACTTTCTCAAATCAGCTATAAAACCCCCAGGCCAATTACCAGGGGGAAATGACCATTATAGTTTGTGATTCAGAAAGCTATGTGCCTCATGTTAATAATTACTCTTTATAAAAATAATTTTTAGAGAAGGGATACGATTTGCTTTTATGATCAATGAGGCTCGGCACACGCCTGGGAGTAAAAAATGTATTAGATAGAAAGACAATTAATGAGCACTTGGAGCGGTAATTTCAGAAGCCCAGCAGGAGACTCCAGTACCTCCACTGCATTCTAGGGACATGAGGGGGCAGAATCTTTTATGGATTCTTTTTATGACTACAGTTCTTAGAAAAGGGAATGTCTTAAATGTAAAACTAAGTTATTGTCATTTTCTCCCTTTCTTTTCTCTCTCTTTTTCTCCTTTCCTTTCTCCCTTCCTTCTTCTCTCTCTCTCTCCCTCCTTCATTTTTTCTTTCCTCCCACTCATCCCTTCTTCCCTAACCCCTTCCTCTCCTCCTTTCCTATTCATTATTCCTAGGAGTCAAAACAACAACAACACAACCGATGAGAAGTTACCTGGTCTGTCTGGGCTGCTGAACTCACTGCTGGACTGTAAGACAGGAGACCCTGGTTCTGATTGACTTTGTCAGTGACCTTCTGGATAACCTTGAATAGATTATTTTAGTTCTCTGGACTTCAGACCCTGCTCTAATGAGGAAATGATATTAGATGCTCCTTAAAGGCGCTGGCTCATCACAAAGCCTATGTTTCTAAGTCCCAAATCATGTCTCTAAGTCAGCAGACCCTCACCAAGCTCATTTTCCTACTACATGAATGACCGCTCCTTCCCACAACCCTCACAGAAAACCCCACTGGAAGGTGGTGAAGAAGGAAGGAGCGCGTACCTGGGGGCGCCACCATGCGCTGCCACTTCTGGAACAGGCAGGTCTTCAGGCAGTCACGTGGACTGAGGTTGTAGGTTTTATGTCTCGACATCAGTTCCTGCATCGGCTCCAGTATTACACACAACTGCAAGGAGGGCAAAGACATCGGTGTCTTACCACTGGGTCATAATAATTACAGCAAGCAATCCCAAGAGCTGGGATCAGTGAGAAAGCAGAAGGCTCATGCTCCCCACATCCCACTTCCACTTTACAAATCTGGAGGATTAGAAACATCACTGAGATGTGATCATACTCTAATTCAATACCTTTGTTGGAGAAGAGTCTCGAACACACCATAAACTGCCAAGAAAGCAAAGTGGACTGTCTTGGAGAGGGTGAAACCAAGTCTCTCCTTGGAAGCGAGGATTTTGAAGCTCTGCCTCACTTACTTTGGGCACGTGGCGGGGAGAGACAGTATGCTCGGCAGGGTGGACGGATAGCACAAAAGAGGAAGACCCTGGATGAGATAGACTGATGTAGCATCGGGGGCAATCGGGGTTGGTGTGTCAGAATTAATGAGACTGGCTCAGGACAGGGCAGGGTTCAGAGGTGCTGTACACAGGTCGCTATACATCATGGACAACTAAATGGCATACAACATACTATGACAGGTTTGGAAGCAGGAGTGACATCCACTTCCTAAATAACATGCCTCTGGAAACTCTATGAACTTTGATAAATGTCGATAGTTGGAGAGGGGCTCCAGGCCTTTTGGTCATAGGGTCACTATGAGTCATGCTCGACTCGAAGGCAATCAACAACAACTAATGTGAAACTATAGCTGACTGTGATTTACATGTACACACACACGTGCACACACACGCACACACCCCTCCACAGGGCAGTTTCTGTTACACATACACACACACGTGCACACACACACACACACGCACACACCCCTCCACAGGCCAGTTTCTGTTACACATACACACATGTGCACACACACGCACACGCACACACCCCTCCACAGGGCAGTTTCTGTATGGATGCTGTCTACAGTTTCATGGAGCACACTTTGCTCTGGTTTCTGGCTGTGGCTCCTGTTAGTATAAGCACACGTTGGGAGGTAGGACGTCAGCTTATGCATGCCACCTAGCATCCAAACCCTTCTCCTATCACAAGCTTTGGAGAACACGTGGGAACTCCAGGGACTTTTGATTCTAATTCTTAGAAAGGCCGATGGTGAGTGCTGTTTTCCTTTCCATCATGTACTCATTTGTATTGTACACGTGTCGGAAGCATAAATAGAGCATGTCAACATCCACTCGGGATGGAAGTGCCCTGTCGTCTCGTTCCCTCCCGGGGTAGATTGCTCAGCTTTACTGTGGCCCCAGACAGCTGATGACAGAGATGAATGAATGAACCAAACAGGAAGATTTCACTCTGGGTCTTTTCTGAACTCCCTGACTGGGAGCCTAGCAGAGCAGCACTTCAATGGAAGAATCCAAGAAGCAGAAGACCACATTATGGGACAACGCATTCAATGCCGTGGGAGATGCTGGGAGCAGTCAAGTAAATTCTTATTTACAACAACAGTCCAGGACAGAGAGGAGCGACCCCACAGGGTTTCTGAGGCTTCACTCTAACAGGAAGCAGCTTACGCCAGCTTTCTCCTGCTAAGCCCGCCCCTGGTTCATTCTCTAGGTCAACAGCTGAGTGCTTCAGTCCTGTGCCATAGGGGCTCTGTGTTGCTGCAATTATAACCGAACAAATATGTACAGCGTCCCAAGTGGAAAAAAAATATGATGCATTACAAACATGCAGTCCCAGCTTCCTTCGGTCCCCTTGCCCTCTGTGTTCCTTAGAAGCAAGGAGAGAGGAACTACATCTCAAATACTGTGGGTACGCGGTCAGGAGGGGCCAGTCCTTGGGAAAATATATCCTGCAGGGAAAGGTGGAAGGTCAGAGGATGAGAAGAAGGAAGAGTCTCAACAAGATGGACCGACACAGTGACGGTATCAATAGGCTTGATTGAGTATGGCAGAGATCTCAAAGACGGTCCAGTATAGGGGAAGGTTCAGACCAAGGGTTCATAGGGCCCCTTGCTGTCCACTTAATGCCATCTACCAACATCTGGAGCACTTCCTTAAAGAGGCAGAGTTGTCTTTGCCCACCAGCTCCCTCCACCTGGGATTCTCTCCCCACTTTCCTTCTGAGGCCACCCATGCTGGGTGACCTGGTTCCCCTTCAAGGCTGACAGGCAGGCTGATCCTGGTGTCTCTCTTACTCTGCTCAGTCGGTCTGCTCAGCTCAGCCAGCCCTTTCTGCTCTACGGACTGACTTATCCATGCTCAACCACCTGCTTCTAAGCCTATCTACTCCAGTAGAGCACGAATTCTTTGCCTTTTATCTGTGTTTCCAGCCTTGGCTTAGATGAATGGATTCATTGAAAGACTCATTCTTAAAGCAGAGAACCTCCCTATGCCAAAATTTCTCAGTGTGGGCTCCAGGACACTTCCTACGGGACCCGATGTGTTACTTATTAGAAATGCAGGCATGCAGGTTCTGCATCACCTGTTTCACCGAGTCTGTGTTTCACAAAATCATAACCAATGCCTCACCACCCCAATAAAATCCCAAAACCAGTTACCATAAAGTTGATTCTCACCCGTGGTGATGCCATGTGTATCACAGTAGAACTGGCCAGGGGTTTTCATGGGCTGATTTTTTTTTTAAACAGTGTTCTTTCAAAGTACCTCCAGATGGGTTTGAACCTCCAAACCTTCATTGAGCAACCTAGAGCTTATTCTAAAATATGCCATCATGTAATTCTGAAAATTCCTTTGGAAAGTGACATGATGCTGGGAAAGGTGGAGGGTCAGTGAAGGAGAGAAGACCCTCGACCAGGTGGATCAATGTGGTGACTCCTGCAATGGGATCTTGTGTGTCAGGAAGGGTGAGGATGGTGCAGGATGGAACACGATTCAGATCTTTTGTTCAGAGAGTTGCTATGAGTCATACTCGATAACACTTAACGACAACAACAATTCTGAAAAACTTCACTAAAATTTGAGCCCCAATTCCCTACCCATCCTAGACTTGAAGGATAATAAAGACAGGAAGTTATAGACAAATAACCACAGGTTTCCAGCTCTGATTCCACTCCCTTCTCACTCGCTGAAGCTTCCCTCTCCTCTCCTCATGTGTAAGTATGATGACTTTCACCGACGAAAAGTAAAACACGGGCTCTCCCAACTATCAAAGACCTAAATCTTTGCAAACACACACGGACCCCAGTTAAGACCAACTGCAATCACCTTTCATGCTCAGTTTCATTGGGTGGCAAAAGGGCAAGGTTTCAAAACCTGCACAGCAACTGATGTTGCGTTACAGACCCCCAGTGTGGAGGGAATAGTGTTGAGAATGGGGTTGGAACAAAGTCTAGATTCCTGACGATGGACTTCACATCTTGTATATTTTCTTGCCTACCTGGGAGACCTTCTTGAACCTAAAATATCTGTAAAGAAAATTCTTTAATGTAGGTAAGAGGTTGTTTTACTGTTTACTCCATATTCCAATGTTTTCAAGATTCCACATGCTCATTCCTAAGGAACTCATGAAATATACAAAACGGGTGACCCCGAAGGAGATCATGCTGGGTGAAATATCTCAGTCACAAAAGGACAAGTACTGCATAGTGCCACTGTTGTAAAAAGGGACTTACATTGGGGTTGAGGGAAGACTGAGAAAGATGGGTTAAATAATGTATAGTGCATTGAAACAGATGAGGGAGAGAACTGTTTAAAAGGGATATATGATTAGGTATTGTTGTCATGACAGGAGTCCAGAGTGAAGGCTGCAGAGTGGAGTGGCTTTGGGGGTGAGGGATTTTATAACAATGAATTAATTTGTTTGTATTTTACTTTTCAAAGAAAGGAGCGAATGGGGGTGGGGACAGGGAGAAAAGTGCAACAATGAATGAATGGAAACCCTAAGTCTCTGTAAACTTTCACTAAAATTAATAAAAAAAAACCCAAAACAAAAAAAGAGATTATAAAAAATAAATTAAAAGAAAAGAATTCATTGCCGGAAATGCAGGTGTGTGTAAGCTACAGACAATGTCATGCCTTCCCCAACCTTTGACTCTTACAAAGTCAGATGCAGTGTGCAGTGAGTGACACACACGGCCAGTGTTAAGAATCGATTAACTACGTAATGCAGAGCAGGCTTGCTTGTCTGACGATACCATGGGGATCTCTAAGACTGTGGCCTGTCCACATCCTTCAAGCCTGGGACTGAATCACTCTCCTATAGATCAACTTTCAGCCAAAGACCAGAATTATAAAGTGACCTACGAAACTGGGGAGGAAGGGGAAGGGGTGGGAAGGAAAGCACTTCACAGAACCACTAATCATGAGAGGCCCAATGGCAGCATTTGCCTAGAAACAACGATCTGAAGGCTGGAGGAGGAAGGAGAGGAAGATGAATGGAGATGAGGAACCCAGAAGGAAGTGAGAAGAGGGTGTTAACATCGAATGCATGCCATCTACTTGGTTCTGACTCACGGTGACTGCCACTGGGCTTCTGAGGCTGTATATTTTTTACCGGAGGAGACTACCCATTTGTTCTCTGTGAAGCAGTTGGTGGATTTGAACTGCCAGCCTTTTCGTTAGCAGAGCAGCATATAACACAGTGTACCGCCAATGTTCTCTTTGGAGAACCCAAATCCTCAAAACCAATCCCACTGTGTTTGAGTCAATCCTGTTTACAGCAACCTCTCCATTGGGTCTGAAGCTGCAAATCTTTGTCGGCGGCGACTCCTCAATGTTCTCCCACAGAGCGGCTGGTGGATTTGAACCGCTGCCTTTCTTTTAGCAGGGCAACACATAAGGCACCGTGCCACTAGACTTCCTTGCATTGAGGGGATTGCAATCAATACTGGGGAAACAAAATGTACAAATGTGGTTGAAAATTGTTGTTGTTAAGTATTGTTGAGTTGCAGCTCACTCACAGCTGACCCTTCAGCAGGTTTGTAGAAGCAGTAATGCACGAGAGGAGACTGCCCATTTTTCTCCCTCGGAACAGCTAGTGGATTCGAACTGTGTGCCTTTTCATTGGCAACTCATCACTAAGCCACCAGAGCTT